TAAATGATTTAGAAAAGTTTTTCTTGTTTAACTGCTTTCCCTATGACTTTTTCTGATTAAAAAAAGCCAATTTTTATGTTTATAAAATATTTTGAATGAAAAATATTAAAATATGTACAAAATAAACCATTTTGAACACTCTTTTTTATTATTTATCAAAAAAAATATAGTTCTGGCATAAACAATGTTAAATTTTAACTGACTTAATTTTGCGAACACATCCTTTTTATTTATATGGGTATCTTAAGGTCTGTTTTTGCGCTAATGTTGCTAATGCATCATTTGAGCGAAAAAAAAATTGTTAAGGAAAAATTTTCTGTTAGAGAACCCTTTGTTAAATATTTCGAATATCACCACTGCCCAGATGCATTTTGGAAATTATAATATTTCCCTCTTCAGTGGACTTTCTTTCATACAAGCTAAATAAGGCACAGTTTTTCAATACTCTCACACAATTTTTCAATATTCCAACCGATTTTTACTAATTTCCATAAAAAAATAATTTTTTCCTGTGTTTTTTTTCCTTAACCATACATATTATCTACAGTCCTTGCTGTCATTACCTTCATTCATTATTTTTTACCTCATTCACCAACATTCCTACTGCAACCCAACTTATTGTCATCAGAAACTAATTATTGACCATGAGCTATCTCATATAACTAAAGTGCAAGATTTTTTCAATGAACATTCCACACTATTGTGTAACGTATGTCTAATTGGCATGATACTACACATACATTACTATTGGCATGATACTACACATACATTACTATTGTCATGAGAATTTTTCTATTCCATGTTTCCCTACTACAGTAGCAATGTCGTCTGTTTTCAGTTGTCCAAGGTTGTGATTCTCTTCTGGTTTCATAATGAAAGTTCCAGTTACTTCAAAATACAGAAATCATTTTCCTAAAATTGCAAATAGTCAGAGAACTTTGTAAATCTTTTCAACCCTACTAGCCACAATATTGTTTGCTTATAACCATTTTGTGGATGTACATAATGCCTTCCAGAAAGAAGCCACCAGACAAGGAAAGTAAATATTGAAGATTTCAAAAGTGGACTTCCATCTATAGAACTTCTTATGCATTTTATCAAGACCTTCAATGATGCTTTCTAGGTCTGGGATATAGTGATTTGGCTCATACATTGGTGGTGAAACATAGGAGGGCTCAAACATGATAACCTGGAGTTTTGGTGAAGGAATGATATCTCAGATAATAAGGCCAAAAACGATGCTATGTATCTTCATGAGAAAGTTGTAAGTGACTGATGGCTGAAAACATTTGTTCCATTAATAAACATTCCATTTTTACTGAATTTAAAATTTATTGGTATTAAGTTTGGCTAAAATGTTAGCTAAGTTTCAATTAAAGTGTCTATTTGAGTTATTTAGGTGTGTACTGATTTATATAAGATTACTAAGAGTTAAAAAAAATAGAACAGTTGATAAAAAATTTACAAAGTGGCACTGTCAATGTTTTTAATTTACAAACAAATTTTTCAAATAAAATTTGAATATTGACAAAATTGTTTATAAAGCATTGAGTGTTTTAAAATTTATTTAAATTTTTATTTTCAAGATTTGGATTGTGCTAAATATAAATGAATAAGAGACCCATTTACATTTAAAGCAGGGGTGTCCAACCTTTTTGTTTCTCTGGGCCGCACTGGAAGAAGTCAAGGAGTTTTGGGCCACAAGTATATATAATATATAGGCCTACTTGTAGCCCAATATACAAGTATATTTAAGGATTAACATGTCTAGATTATAATAATAAGTATTAAAACTTTATCAATAAAAAGGATATTTTAAAAATTACTTCTACAGACACTTTCAATTTTTACTTAGAAATAGATAAATTCATTTATTATAAAAGAGACAAAC